TGCACAGTTCTATGTCAGTTCTGCCATCATTTGGCAATAGGTCAGTTTTTAGGGTAGTTGCAGGGTTTACAGAAAAACAATCTAAAGCATGTTTCAAGCCTGTGTGGGTGATCCATGGTTTCTGGACTCCTCTGACCCCAAAGACTCCTGGGAGATCCTTACACAAGATTCAGACAGGCCTTTCTCTGAGAGCTGAAGATATTTATTCTTTATATGAAATAGAACTATATACTAAAAAATGAGAAGAGTAAAAAATATTGATCTTTGCTTTAAAGACTTAAAATGCTAAAAACAAATATTTCTTTTGGAATGTTTAAGAGCTTGAATATATGTGTGTGTATACATATACGTGTATGTGTGTGTGTGTGGATACACATACATATATTTTATCTGAGGTTATAAAATCTTTAGACCTATAAAGAATAAAGTGTTTGAGCCTTTGGGTCCTTCAGGGGATGTGTCAGGGACCAGCTGGCGTTTCTCCTCTGGTTGGCGTCTGGCTCTAGCAGACTTTGTCTCCTGCCCTGCCGTCTTCACCTGGGCCAAGCAGCAGCTTTCTCACGGTGAGGCTTGCCCTTTGGTATTCTGATGTGTGTGCAGACCCTGGAGTCGTATTTCACCATGCAAAGACAGTCGTGTTAGTTCCCTGCACAGAAGCCCTGGATGGTTCCCTGCAGGATAAATTCTAGCTCCTAGGCTGCAAATCTCCTTCTGGGGCCCATGTTATGAACCTGCCTCTGACTGTTGGTTACCTCTCTTTTTATTTATTCTTGGAATAAAGTTATGCTGTTTCACAACCCTAAGCCTTTCTAAGCTTCTTCTCTTTGCTTTAATTGCACTTTTTCACTTAGCATAGCTATTGTCGTCTTCAGAAAGTCTCCCCAACTTCCTGATCCCCATTTGTTTTTGACTTGGCTGGGCTCCCTCTTACTATCTGTCCACATTCCTTTCCTGTCCCTGATGCCTCCTATTTGGACTACTAAGTGTGATTTCTTTAGCAGTTTGAATGCTTGGCTAGTACTAAGACTGGATCCCTTTACTTTGTATATTAAGTGGTCAGCACAGGACCAGGATGGAGTTATCTTGTGTCAAATTCAAGTGAAATGAGCATCAGCCTTCAAATTATCTGGTAAATTTGTTTTTCACAAAAGATCATAGAAGCTTAGATTTAGGTAAATGTACATACACCAAGTCTCTTTGTGATTCTCAAATATTGCAGGAGATTCTTCTGGGAAACTTCTCTTTTTAAGTCTCATAAGCTTAATAGCGATGCTATTAAAGAGCATTTAAGAAAATGAGGTAGTAGCAAAGACATCAATTTATTATGTAATTCTTTTCACAAATTTGTTATTTTAAGGATATTTAGCATGTTGTTTCATCGTACTTTTATTGAGTCTAATGTTAACATAACTAATAAGTAGCCATATAATAACCAAATATCATTCAGCAAAATTTGATATTCATTCATGTAGGAAAAGAGCACCCCTTTTGGGATGATTGGTTTCTTTATAAAAAAGATGTAAGCTATAAAGAGGGAGAATAATACTTTAAGAGTATGTTGCCAAATGGATAAAAGTGAGCTGCAATTTACTTTTAGTCTATAAACAATCACTCTTGGGGAATGAACAGGTAGTGCTTTTACCTGGCACCTCATAAAACTCTAAATTCCATATTTGTCCTTTTTTTAATGGCTTTGTACAGCCACATGATTTTAGTGTGGTTTAACTTTGGATTATTCATCTGTAGCAAATGAAAGATACCCAGAGCCTGATTCCGGGCTGAAAGCCACCTCATTGTCCCCTCTCTCTGGAGGACCAGGTCTGGGCAAAGAGCTTCCCTTCTCTTCAGCCTCATAGAATGTAAGATCCATAAGGATCTGTTGTTTCGTTGAAATTTTATTGAACATAATAACTTTGCAACTAATAAACTTGTCATGTAGAGACCGAATAGTATGCAGGAAAATTTGATCTTCATAAATCGTTGAGTTTACATTTCAATAGAATGTAAGAACCATGAGGTCAGGGATTTTGTATGTGTATCATTGTATCATGTATCAGTGTGTGATTCATGCAGTGCTTGGCACAGGATAGTAGTTGATCAGAAAACATTTATAAATGACCCCTCTTGGGGCTTTGAATTTTTCCCTATCAAAACATGGATCTGTGTAGCCTGAATTTCTAGATATTTCAAATAAAAGGCTTATCTCCCTGCTTTAAACACCTTATGGCTTTCAAATAATTATTGGGCATTGGGAAGTCAGATGGGAAATATATTTTTGTAAGGTGGATCTCTTTTGGGTTCCCTGAAATCACTGTTAGGATTAGCTATAACTTCCATTTCCATAAGAAAGTACTGGGATAACGCTCTCTAACAGTTAGTTTCAGAGAGAGATTGAGAGCTAGAGAGAGAGCATGTGTTTGAGTGTATGGGGTGAAGATTTTTTTTAATCCTCTTTCCCATTTCATATGTGCATCATTTGATGCCACTTTTTTCTTTCTGTGCAACATGGAGCTGGACCTCCTCTAAGAGAGTTTTATTGCTGCCTTTTAAGAGTAGAGGGTTGCAGAACTCACTGGCTGAAGCCCCAGGTCGGGTCATTGCTGTCTGTGATGAAGGGTGTACTTGCTCCTTTTGCTGATGTGGGCTGGGATGCCTTGTGAGGCAGGAAAATCCTCTCCCTCTTTGTTTTTTTCTTTCTGGGTTGGGTTGTAATGTGTGGAGGGTAGACTTATGGTCTCCTTCCTGATTTTTCTTAAGACCAAGTTTGGACAGCTATGGCAAAGGAGGAAGTGAGAAAATTGTTCAGAAACTGTGGCATTTATTTGAAGTAAAAACATTTCACACATTTTTAAGTCCCCATCATGTGATGTTTATTGAAGAGGAAGATGGAGTGAGCCTGCACCGTAGCTATGAATGTGTAAACCTTTTTGATCCATGTATTTAGATATTTTGGGGGTTGTCTTGGAAAATAAGATGAAATGTAGTTCTCAAAGTAGGAGCTGCAGTTCAGAAATCTAGGCTTCCAGGATTCATTTATAGTTCACACTTCCAGATACTGTCTCTATGTCACCCCAGGACGCAGGCCAGGGGATTCCAGCTTGGGTCTTGGTCCTGGGCTTGCTAGCTGGATGAATATGACAGGTCACACTTTGCCCCTCTTAGCCAATCTTTCTCTTTTGTCCATGGGGATGATAACACTGACCCCTATGGCTTGTCATGTGACCTAAAGCAGGTAAAACATGAGCAAGAACATTGAAATCCTGTGAGGTGATCTGATGCTAATGGCCATACACCTTGCCTTTGTCTACTTGAAAAATCAAAATCAATTTTTCTTATAGATACTGTTTTCATTTCTTGTTCCAGCTGCTAGAAAGCTAAGAACCAGAAAGGGTCTTGTTAATAAGGAGTTCATGTCCTTCATTTTCTTTCTTTCTTTTTCTTTTTTGTGGTGGTGGGGGTACCGGGCGTTGGATCAAGGGCATTTGACTACTGAGCCACATCTGTAGCCCTATTTTGTATTTTATTCAGAGACAGGGTCTCACTGAGTTGCTTAGCACCTCACTTTTGCTGAGGCTGGTTTTGAACCTGCCATCTTCCTGTGTCCACCTCCTGAGCCACTGGGATTACAGGTGCATGCGGCATGCCTGGCATGTTCTTCATTTTCTATGATAGATTTCTCCATCTATTCTCAGTTTGCCTTGTTGTTTCCCTCTGTTTTTTTCTATATAACTTACACTCTGGCTCTGTTTTATGTATATGGATATAATCAGCCTTAAATCCTATTTAGAATAAGTCATAAACTAAGAACCAACCAAACAAATAAATATCTCTTCATCAGTTTGCTTTCTCATCCATTGAATTTGGGGATGAACAGCTGTTCCTCAAGGTCAAGGCTCTTTTTTTTTTTTCCTTCTCAGAGGCAACTCAAGTGTGAATAATAATCTGTTTCAAAGATCCTACTTCTAGGGTGGTGGTGGTGAAGTTTGTCAGCTCTTTGACCAAAAATAACCTAAAATTCTTAGCTACGACTGTTTAGAATTGGGACTAGCTAGAGGAAACTTGCCCGGAATTAAACCACCTTTATTTGTGTTGAAATTTTGTGTTTGTAATAAACTTTATTTCAAGATTTTACATATGAAATTAGGGAGTGTTTAGCTAAAATATGTTTTCAAAACATGTTGTCATGCAAATGTGCTTTTCATTATCATTTGATGTGCCTTTTTTGGGATAAAATTCTGAAACATATCCAGAAATGAGAAATAGGGACAGGGCCCCATAGAACTGTTGTTAATATTTTGCATATTTTTTTATGGTTTATCAAGATTTAATTTGCATTTGTTGTCTATATGATAATGAATGGTTATCTGTTTTATAAATATGATTTCATTATCAATTGACTTAATGCTTATTCTCTTCATGAATCTTTTTTTTTTATTTGTATGTGGTGCTGAGGATCGAATCCAGTGCATGCCAGGCGAGCATGCTACCGCTTGAGCCACATCCCCAGCCCTCTTCATGAATCATTTTGTTAACCTATACCTATTCTCTAAATAAACGCCTGCCAGTGCTGATCAGTGATGTGCAAGTGTGGTTTAATTTATTGATAGGTCTATAGCAAATTACTGGAGACTCAGACCATCTTCTTGTCTCCTGACCAGAGCTAAGCTTAAGTTTCAGGAGGTTTGGCTTTCCTTCTCTGCACCTGGACTGAAAACAGATGAGAAGTTAAAATGTTACATATTATTACCAAGTTTTTTAGGAATTCTGTATTTCTACTATATCTGAATGAGCATTGCGAGAATTTTGGACCAACCCAAATATGGTAAATGTGCTTCAGAGTTGTGATGTATTTCTCATTTTTGCTTTGTAAATTTAATCTGTAGAGCTCATAAGAGCTTTTTGGCCAAACAAACACTGACAACACAACCTGAAAAACCTCTAGTGATTATAATGCCGTGCTAAAAAATTTGTGGTGTAATTCAATAAAATTTATTTTTCAGTTCTCTCAGGAGGACCTTTGCCTCAAGGGCATGAATTTGAACTGTATGAAGTTAGATTTCACTGGGGGAGAGAAAACCAGCGTGGTTCCGAGCACACGGTTAATTTCAAGGCTTTTCCCATGGAGGTAAGAACGATGATCATTGTGTAAAAGTCTTGTTCAGAAAAGTATTCAGTGATTGGCTGAGAATGGTTAAGTATAAATGTAGATGCATAGCTCTTGAATTTTGTCAGTTTATATTAAGAAAAAAAACACTTAACAAGATATAAGCTTGGGGCAGCAATTGAAGCTCCTTATCTGCTTTACTGGGCTTGGAGTGTGCAGGTGAGCAGCTGGCCATAACAGTGATCCGTGCTAGAATTCTTACTGTTGTAGACATTCTGTGGTCTCCGCAAATTCATTTGGTCACTTTTGTAGCTCTGGGAAGGTAATGAGCTAGAAACAAGTAACTGTTGGAAGAAACTCAAGAATAATTAAAACTCTAGTTTAGCTTATTTAAAATTGCTCCCCAAGCTTTTGGGGACAGGGAGATGTAAAGAGAGTGATTCTTTTGTCTAGTCTTCCCTCCCCCACATAATCTTCTTAGTTGACTCTTGCGCTGTCTTAGTACCCAGTATCATGTTCCTTCTTCCCTAGGCAGAATTTACCTCCCACTCTTGTGTACTAGATAGATCATGGTAGGTCAGTGCCATGTGCTGATCCCGTGGACTGGCACCGGTCATGTCCTCTGTGTCTTTCTTGTTGACTGAGGACTTCTGAGGAGGATCATTTCCTTCTCATTCCCCTGTTGACTCTGTCATTTAGGCCACTGTAGGCATATCATAAATAAGTAGTCCGTGTTGGTAAGGTTGAGAGGATGTCCCTGTTGGTCCAAGCCTTATTGATGTTTCTTCTTATAAGGAACCTCAGTTTCTCCCAGGAAATTGCCCTTCAGTGGTATGCACAAGTGAGTTTTCCTTTCTTCCCATCTACCTGCCTTCCTTACCTTCCTTACTCCTCTCTTTCCTCTTCCCTCCCTTTTTCCCTCCTCTTTTGCTCTTTCCTGTGTGATCTATTCTATTTCTAAGGCTTTGATTCTCAACTCTATCAGCTCCAGATTTTATCTTGATCCAGAGTCCTATAGACAACCATCTAGTGGGTTTTCTGACTTGGGTGCCTAGTAGAGATGATAGATTAAAAACGATATAACTCTTAATAATAATAAAAAAGAGTATATTGTGGGGGCTGCGGGAATGCCAGTCTTCTGTTATTCCCATCTGTACATATGCTTAATATTAAATATGGAAGTGCTCACGACCAGATAGCAGGTGCAGTATTACCTCTGTGACCGGAAATCACTAATGTACAATTTTGTATAAATGATATGTGTATATTAAAGGATTAGATTGGAGTGTTTCTGAGCATTAGTGTAATGATAATTTTTACAAATCCTTTTGAAGCTTAGGATATCCATTTTATTAAAGAGGCCCAAGTCTTAAAAGTGAAATGTGAGATGTTTTAAGGATGGAGGGGAAGAAAACTGCATTGACATCTGTTGAAGATGAAGACAGAGTGAGGACCCTGAGAGGGGACAGCTCCTTGGGGGCCTGAGTGCTGAAGGTATTGATGGTCTTGTAGGGAGCTGCCCTCTTGGTTGCCAAGAAATGTTCTCTCATTTCTGCTGTCTTAAAACAACTCTTGTGTCACCTCTTCCTACTGCCCTGTCCTCAGCCAACCTCAGAAGGAAATGCTTACACCAGAACACATCAGAGGAAAGGGTTCATTTGAACCTCCTGGGTGGTGGAGGGCCAGGGGGCTGGCCAGACAAGCCCTGTCCTCTTCTTTGGGTTTCAAAGGACATTTCATGATTTTGTACCAGTCAGTCCTCAAATAATCCATGAGTTTAGGGAGAGATGGGCATGATGGGGTAGGTAGGAACTTCTGGATGAGGATTCAGTGCCTTTGCTTGTGACACAGTTTCCAGCCTTGAGAAAGTTTAATTAGATTAGGGGAGTCAGTGACCTGTGCTCTTGGCTGTGTTGTGAGAGAGAATTTCCGGACCAAATGTTCAGACTGGTCTGGCTACTGGGTGGCATTTTAACTGCTCCAGACCATTAAGCACAGGTAATGGATTGTTTTGAGTGAAGATTAAATTCTGGTAGTGAGGCTTTGTGTAGAAATATTTATATTTAGGATAATGGAATTCTGACTGTAATTTTTCCCAAATAGGTAATGAGTAATATTTATATTCTTTGTTATCCCAGATAATCCTTGATATAATCCCAGAATATTTTTTTCAGTCATCTGACATTTGTTTTAGGGTCGTAACTGATTGAATACATAAATGTTGTGAGGGTGCAGAATTAGAGGGAGATTCCTGCAAACCAGCTTTTTTTTTTTTTTTGAGGCTATGAATACTGAGCTGGGTTTTAAGGCAAATAGAGCTCTCATGTTGTAATGACAGAGAAGGGGACTCCAGGTGCAAGAACATTCCAGGATTGATAATGAATTAGCAAATACAAAGTTGTTTAGATAGCTGACTGCTGGTCACCTGGTCCTGAACAGCCACCCAGGGTCACCTTAAACACAAGAATGTGGTCAACAGAATCGTGAAGAGTGAGATTTGGACTGGGTATCTTTTTGAACTCATGAGATTTTTCAGTTTTTTTTTTTTGAAATACTTTTTAGTTGTTAATGGAACTTTATTTTATTTATTTATATATGGTGCTGAGAATCCAACCCAGTGCCTCACACATGCTAGGCAAGTGCTCTACCACTGAGCCATAACCCCAGCCCAGGTTTTTTTTTTTAGTAGAGTGTCCATATTTTATTTACATTTTTTTTTAAAGAGAGAGAGAAGAGAGAGAGAGAATTTTTTAATATTTATTTTTCAGTTTTCAGTGGACACAACATCTTTATTTTATTTTTATGTGGTGCTGAGGATCGAACCCAGAGCCCCGCGCATGCCAGGCAAGCAAGTTACCGCTTGAGCCACATCCCCAGCCTTTTTTTTTTTTTTAATTTTTTATTGTTGGTTGTTCAAAACATTACATAGTTCTTGATATATCATATTTCACACTTTGATTCAAGTGGGTTATGAGCTCCCATTTTTACCCCATATACAGATTGCAGAATCACATCAGTTACACATCCATTGATTTACATATTGCCATACTAGTGTCTGTTGTGTTCTGCTGCCTTTCCTATCCTCTATTATCCCCCCTCCCCTCCCCTCCCCTCCCCTCTTCTCTCTCTGCCCGCTCTACTGTCATTCATTTGTCCCCCTTGTATTATTTTTCCCTTTCCCCTCATTTCCTCTTGTATGTACTTTTGTATAACCCTGAGGGTCTCCT